GGAACCGATTGTATTATGATTGTGCGTGCGTGGAGGAGGCACGCACCGCCGCCCACCTTTGCACCAAGTGTCTCCCATGCAAGGACGGCTCCAAAGGATGCCGTGTATGCATGCGAGAGTGGTTCGAAGACCAGCGCAAGAGAGGTTTCTTGGCCAGATCGGCCAAGGACCTCTTTTGCGCTGGCAACATGTAGGCACGAGCCTCGAGGTCTATTGAATCAGCCTTGCGCGGGGCGCTTGCTTAGCCACGTGCCTCGGGATCTCTCGAGTCAGCCGGGTGCCAAGTTCCTGCTGGCAAGTAGCCACGGATCGACTTGGAGATGTCGTATTGCTGTCCTGGGGCGTTGTTGTGCTGGTTTGTTTCGTTGGGGGGGCGGGCTCGGGGCTCTGCGGGGCCATCCCCGAGCGTGTCTGGGGGGCATTTGGGGCGTTTTCAGTGGACGAATCTCACACGCCTGGAGACCCCGAAGGGGTTGGCGGATGTGGGTTGCATTACATGTGTCCAGACACTCGACAAGGCAGAGGCTACAGGGTGACCCGTGGCGGTGGTGATGGTGATGGCGGTGGTCATGGTGCGGGTGATTGTGATGATGTTAGTAGTGATGGTATTGATCATGGGACGCGGAGATGATGACATGGTGGTGGTGGTGGTGATGAAGCTGATGGTGGTGGTGATGGTAACGGTGATGGTGGTGGTGGTGATGGTGACGGTGGTGGTTGTGCTGCTGATTATGATTGTGGTGCTGGTGCTGGTGATGGTGATGTCAGCAGGATGGTGATGATGAGGGCGAGGAGGGGGGACGGGAGAGGGAGGAGGGAGGAGAGAGGAAGGAGCAATGAGGACAACGAAGGGGAGGAGGAAAAGGTGAGGGAAGAGGAGCATGTTAAGTCTGTTCACACCGCGCGCCCGCGCGCACCCGCCGGCCAGCTCGCGACATCTGGTTCCGAACCGCATCAATTCCGCGCCATTTTTTCTGCACGCGCCGCGACGCGACCCCGATGCCACGACCAGTCAGAAACTGGAAACGGACTGTTGGGCCTTGAAAGAGATGCGTAGGGAAGGACACATTTTGACGATTGGTTCTTGGAAGTCCCGACGTCACGCGGTGAAGCGAATATCTTATGTTGTCCCGGGGATCAGCGGTGTCGCGAGGGTTGCCAGGAGAAGGGTGTGGCATGTCTGGAGTGCCGAGTGCTTCGGTGTGTATGTGTGTGCGGAATGTAAGGAAGATGTGGACGTGCCGCGTCAGTGGCGAGCCACTGCGGTCCTGTCAGTTCCGCGCCGCAGTCTTGCGAATGACCGGGTGGCATTGTATGCGCCAGATCGCACGCACGCAGAAGGGATGATGGAGATGATCTTCTGCAGCCCTGGCAGAATGTCCATGCTTTGCTCTTCGTTGGAGGTGAGGTTTCAGAGCGGCCAAGCGAACGGCAAGGGCAATGATTACCTATTTGACAGCGCCGCAGAATTTCAACGTGCGTCTGGCAGCGCGAGGGGCTGTCACGATTTTCGCGTCACCGTGGCAAGGGATAATGTAAGAGTTTCGCCAGCTGGAGAAAGAAGGGCGCCAGGGGGACAATTCAGCGCTGTCGATCGTGGGTGATAGGTTGGGGTCGGCGGTGCAGATCCTTCTGGGAAGCAGCGACGCCACTGCGAAGGGCAACCTGCTGCGCATCTTACTTCGAGCGAGCGCGCGACGTGAGGTTGCGAAACGCCACGCCAAGATGATGAAGAAGTGCGGTCACATGGCTTTTGTGAACATCGGCGTGGAGGCTATGGACACAAAAGCCGAGCGGCTGCGGAAGGACGGTGCGCCGCCAGATATTGTCAGGCTGCTGCCGCATGACGCGACGTTGGACAAACTCACATTGCAAGAGAATGCGACGCCTTGCGATGGGGCGCGGGATTATGCGGGGACGGCTGCGCGCGACATGGACTTGCGCGCGCCAAATGCCGCCATGACGAAGAAGTCTTCGGTGGACGAAGTGGACGCGAGCATTTTGAGGCAAGGTGCTTTCGAGCACGTGTCCGGGAACTCGCCTGCAGAGCGCGGAAGTCAAGGTGCGGGGGCGACGACATGTGTCCAGGAGGGTGCATTGGCAAGAGAAGCACCAATGTTCGCGACGCGCGTTGCAAGCACGTGGACGGACAGGTGCGAGAGGCCCGAGCGCCCGCGCGTGGCGGAGATAGGGAGGGGCCCGTTCTCGCGAAGACTTGCAGGATGGGTGACAGGGCGGCGAGCGTGGATCTGGAGACCGGGCAGTTCCGACCGTGGGAGATGGTGCATGCGGGCGCGCCCCGCGCTCGTTATGTCGTGTATCCAGGGCGCCAGGTGATGAATCAATTCGTTCCGCGTTTTTTTTTCGGGGTGGCGCTGCCGTTTTGTTCCAAGTGCGGGGCGGGGATGCGGCGAGAAAGTGCGCGCCATCGGCGTGGCCCGGCGGCGCCCCGCGTGGAATTGGCCCTGTGGGCCCTCATCATGACGCGCCGGGTAGACTCGCAATTCCGGCGTGAGTGGAGACTTTGTTTTACGTTGTCGTCGGTCTTGCTTCAAAGTTCAGCGAACCTGGCGCGGCCCGTCCGCGCGGCGGACTATCGGAAGGGCGGACAGACGGAACGCCAGCATTCGCAGGGGGAGCTCGCGAGGGCGGCCACGAGCATTGTCGATGCTGTGCGCGGCGCGCGCGAGGATCCGTCAACCAGGAAGTCCGCAAACGCGCGCGGAGATTTCTCGGAATTGATGCGCGTGCAGCCGCTGGACCCGATAGCACAGAGACTGGCCGCAGGGTCCAGCACCGTCGCCCGCAAGGTTGAAGGGGTGAACGAGGTGCGGACGCCCATGGGGCACGACGCCCATGCGGCTCGAATTGCGCGCGGGGCGCCGCTAGTTTTCCACCGTGTCTCCGGGCGAGAGAGACGCACCTTGCAATGGTACGTCTGTCTCGGTTGCGGAAGAAGGGCCCCGTGAATCGTCGCGCGGCAGGGGCGCTTCATGCGCCCGCGCACGGGGGTCCGCGAGGGCTGTTGGCGGGGCGCTCAGAGGCAGGAGATGCCGCGCTAATGTATCGGCGCGAGCAGACAGGAAGAAGCGACTCGGGCACAGGGGTGGTGGAGGGCGAGGACGACGTGGACATGGCAGCGCCTGTGTCGATGTTTGGAGATGCCGTTCCCGCGTCGGACGAGAGAAGAGCAGTTCTTGTTCGGGGCCCGCTGGCAGGCGCTGATGGGTTTCGGATGATAGTTTTGCCATGTATTTGAATAATTGTTCAAGCGTGCGGTATTGTCCGAAACGCCCAGATTGCGAGCGCACAGATTTGCTTGGCAGCACCGCAGCGGCGGCGGGGGGGCGTTTGGGTCGCGTGGGCGGGGTGCACGGTCGCATTGCGGTTCAGAAGTCGGCTGGAAGTCTGCACTTGCACGCGCAAGTATTCGTTCAATGTTTGCACCAGCTGACTCCACTGCGCGAGCTCATACAGCTGCCGACAGACGTGCTGCAAGGACTGGTAGACGAGCACAGGAGGCATAAGATAAACGCGAGTCGCCAGGAGCACGCCGACGTAGAAGGATGGAGGGAGAGGAAGACGGAGGTAGAGAAGGCGCGACCCACGTCCCGCGACGACGGATTTGGTCGCGGTGCCCGAGTACTTACGCAGCGCTCAGGCGCATGAATTGCGAGAGGCGGAAGGAGGCGGGAGGGAACCAGCGAGCGACATTACCAAATGCGCGCCCGTCTCCGGGGGAACATATAACGAGGAGAAGATAAGCGAGTTTGGGCGAACTTGGTTGCAAGAGTACCTGGGCGTCTGGGTGCAAAGAGGGCAGGAGTTGCGACCAGGGCGCGACCTAAACGTTTATCTGTTGTGTGTTTGGAGTGGTTTGTTTTGTTGCTTGTTTTTTGTTCGAAGCGTGTGTTGTGATTGATTTAAACGAATCTGGGGAACGAAGCCCATCGGAGGTCAGAGCGATGCGTTCTGTTGTGCGTTCTGTTTCGGCGCCTGCGACGCATCGTGTTTTGTTATTGTTGTGTGTGTGTGGATCTTGCACTGCAGCTGGTGTTGTGGTTCCTTTTGTTGCGACTCGGGGTAATTATTTCCGCCGTGCTGTTGTTGACAGTGTGTTCAGCGTGTGGTTGTTTTGCTGGTTGTTTTGTTCTTCCGCGTTGCCCCCCCTTTTCGTTTTACCTTCCTGCCCTTTTGTTTTTCCTTCGTTCCCTTTCGGGTTGCCTTCTCCCCCGTTTCGTCTCATCTCGCTATTTTTCGCCTTATCCTTTCCCCGTTCGTTTTTCCCTGTCGGGCGTTTCGTTTTCCCGTCGTTCCCTCGTGTTCGCCTCCTTCCCGTTCCGTTTTTCCTCCCTCTGTCCCGCGATACGTTTTTCCGCGTTTTGCCCTCCTTGCGTCCCGCTTTGCCTTCCCTCCGTCCCATTTTACTCACCCTACGTTTCGTTTTGCCCTCCTTGCGTTCCGTTTTAACTTCGCTGCGTTCCGCTTTACTCTCCCTACGTGTCGATTTACCGTCCGGCTTTACGTCCCGTTTTCTTTTCCTGAAGGCCGGTTTTTTACCCCTGCTATATACAATCTGACCCTCCCCACGTCCCGCTTTACCATGCGTGCCGGAGGGTAAAACGGAACGTCGGGAGGAATTGAAAGGAGACGTCGGGAGAGTAAAACGGGACGCGTAGGGAGGGCAAGGAAGGGTAAAACGGGAAGTACGGAGGGTAAAACGGCGGGACGCAGGGAGGGTACAACGGGACGTCGGGAGGGTAAAACGGGACGTAGGGAGGGTAAAACAGGACGTCGGGAGGTTAAAACGTGACGTCGGGAGGGACAAACGGGACGCAGGGAGGGTAAAACGCGACGTCGGGAGGGTAAGGAAGGATTTGAAAGCCTCTTGGCGGATTTCGGGCTTCACCTATACTACTGCAAAGACGTCTCCCCGAGTGTGCCACACCTCTCCGTGACATGCTCCGCCAGCTGGCGTGACAACGCATGCATTCAATATCATGGATCTGCGCTCCGCCACCCGGCGCGACAGCGCGTGCATGGTGAATCAGGGCTGTTTGCCCTGCGTCCCGTTGAATTGCCCGTCGCTTCTTCACATGCTCCGCCAGCTGGCGTGGCAGCGCGTTCCGTCCTCCGTCATCCCCGTCCTGCTCCGCTCCTTGGCCCTCCTGCGCGTGCTCGGCCCGACAGGCCAGGAAAACTCGACGGCCTCCGCAGAGCATTATAGATTGTTCCGGGCAGCGAGCCAGTTTCTGCCCTCGCCGTCAGGGCCGCGGGGTGGGCGAGGAGGCCATGCCCCAGCCCGGCGCCCGGCCGTGCGGCGGCACTGCGACGCGCCGTGAGGCCACGGCATCTGTGCTCCATGCGTGTTTGCACTCAGTTTTTGTTGGTTTCCCTCTTTCTCTCTCCCTCTCTCTCCCTCGCTCTCCCTCTCTCCTTCTCGCTCTCCCTCTCTCTCTATATCTCTCTTTCTCTCTCTCTCTCTCTCTCTCTCTCTACAGGCAGCGAAGATAATTCGGACTGCGCTACAGAGAGTGCCTGGGGGACCATTGGGCAGACCATGGGGGAGACCATGGTTGTACCAAAATGGGGGCCAGATTGGAGGTAGGGATGGAACCACAGGAGTTTCACCGCATTGCCTCCTAACTCCTGTCATACGACCCCGCCGTTGGTATGTTCGCTTGAGATCAGGTTATGTGCAGGGCCCCTGGTGTGAATTCTCGGGGTCTTTCGTAGGGAAACTAGCATGCCCAGACTCGATTCGAAGGACCCCCTGCGGTGGAACCCCCTTGGGCCATCCACCTCGCCCTCGTCGTCTTTCCTGCTCCTCTCTGCGCCGCAGCGCCGCCGCTGCGCCGGCCCGCCCGCGAAGGGCCACCCGGCCGAGCCAGACCCGGCTGTGCTCCGTATGCCGTGTTTTCTCTCGCATTCGCGGGCCGACTTTTATATACATCTTCTCGTTGCCCCACGGGGAGCCCATGAGCTGCACTGGCGACGAGCTTCTCCTTTCGTGTCCCCACCTCCGGGCCGTTGGTTTTTGCTTGCCCTCGCAGGCCGCATTTCGCAACATCTTCGTGGCGCCCGCGAGGGGGCATTCGAGCTGCACTGGCGGCGAGCTTCTCCGAGAATGTCACCCGCCTCCAGGCCGTGCACATGATTAGGGACCCCAGCGGGCGTTGCCCAGGTGACGGAAAGAGCGAGGTATTAGTGATGTACGTTGTGTTGGGGCAAAGCCTTCTAGGGAGGGTTCCAGGTGAGGGGCGAGGCCGGGGTGATACCGGGTAATGGCCAGCCCCCCTTCCCGAGATGGCCCCAGAGGGGCCCCAGTCGGCCCACGAGGCGCCCAAGACGGTCTAAGAGGGGTCCAAGACGGTTCCAAGTCGGCCCCAGAGCGCTCCAAAATGCCCAAGTTAGGTCGAAGACGGTCCAAGAGGGCCCCAAGACGCCCGAAGATGGGTCCAAGACGGTCCAAGAGGCCCCCCAGACGCCCCAAGTTGCCTCCAAGAGGCTTCCGAAGAGGGCCCGAGGAGGCAACATTCATTCTTCTCTAACGACGGTTTTTTGATAGTTTTTCTGGTTTTTCGTTTTGCCAAGAACGAACGAAACAGCCCAGGAGGCTCTAAATATCGCCCCAAGACGGCCCAAGAGGCCCCCGAAATGGCCCGAAAACGTTACAAGAGGGCCCCAAGACGGCCCCAATATCTTGGTCACCTATCAACCAACCGGAGAGGTGACCTTTGAATCATCTGGGGCCCCAAGACGGGCCCAAGATATTACAAAACATATCGCAACCTGCGGTCAATGGAGGGGATCCGCAGGAACCATACCTCGTCCGTTCCCCCTCCTCCTTTTCCTTCCCTCTCCCCTCCTCCTCCCCCTCATCCGTTTCACCCTGTGGAGGAAAAGGTGGAACAGGAGGAGGAGGAACAGGAGGAGGAGGAGGAGGAGGAGGAGGAGGAGGAGGAGTCGCTCACTAAATGAATGCATGTGCTCAGAGCGACGGTAGGAACAGGAGGTGGAGGTGGAGCAGGAGGGGACGATGAGGAAGAAGGGGGGAACATGAGGAGGATGAGCGGAAGGAATATGGTAATGACAGCAGAAGAGGATGAGGAGGTTGAGGAGGAGCGCAAGAGAGGAGAAGATGGGGAGGACCGAGAGAGAGAGGTCGAGAACACACACCAGGGATGGAAGGGGAAGGGGAAGGGCGAAGCGAGGAGAAGGAGGGCGGGAGAGGATGTGACACAGGACCAGGAGGAAACGTGCAGGCCGCGGTGCTCCAGTCGCTTGACGCCGCGTCCGCTGCCGCGGCGAAGCCGCAGCCGCCAGTGTGCCGGCTGTGCGTCGCGGGCGGGGCGGGGCCGCCAGGATGCCGCCCAACATAGCCGGGGCTCAGGCAACAGCCAGGGGCATTGTTTTCGAGGCTTTCGCCTTGGTTCGACACGGCACACTGCGGCGGCACCGTCGTCGTCGTCGTCGTCGTCGTCGTCGTCGTCGTCGTTGCCATCGTCGTCGTCCTCGTCCTCGTCCTCGTCATCGCCGCCGTCGGTGCCGCCGCCGTGGGCCGTGGGATTTCGGAAGTTGTTGTAGTTTTTCGACTGTCTTCCATCCTCGAGGTGCCTTCCAGCGGTGCGCCTCGCCGAGAGCGTGCTGAGGGTGCCAGGATCGTCCCGAGCCGCCGCAGGAGAGCCGAGGTATGACCCGAAGACCAGGGGGGCATTCGAGGCTGGGATGGGCTCAGGGCGGGGAGCCATCGGCCCCCAATCGCCCATCGATGACCGATCAAGGCCCGATAGCCCGCCCCGCCCAGGAACGTGCGGACTCGCTATCGGGAGGCCCATCGCCACTCTGTCGGTGATGTATCGCCGATGCCGGGTCGCCGTCTCCCTTGAGCCAGCCAAACCTCAGACTATCTTCGTGTCGTGTCGACTCGGCAGCGACCGCACCGCGGGCGTTCCAAGTTGAACCACCAGGCGATCGAAAAGCCGCCCACCGTTCCAGGTTGAATGATCCACGCGGTGCCGAACACCAGCGCCAGGGTGGTCACGACGCGAGTCTGCCGGAGTGCTATTTCTCAGCCCCGAGATGCCCAGGACGTTCGGGGCATCCCTTTGCCCCGCCCAGGCTCCAGAGGCGAGGGCAGCCAACCAGACATCCCGGACCTCCTGGAAAGTATCCTGAGCCAAATTTGCACCCTGGCATCCTCCTCGTCCTGGGTCCCCTCCGACGATTTTTGTCCCAGCCCTCTCTGGCTGGGTATTCGTTTTGAATTGGGCACTTTGGTCGCGTCCTTCTCCTCCTTCTCCCGTCTCCCGCTTCCGTCTTGTCTCCTTTTGCCTTGCGCGAACCTGGCCATCCCTGGAGGGTAGGGCTGCGATCAGCGAAACTGTCGCCACTTTCGAGGGCTGCTGGGGAGGCCAACAGAGTGGGCACCCGCCGCAGACTCAAACTAAACCTCGCCAACCCTGGGGGGCTGTGATCTGTGAAACTGCCGCCCCTTACATGGGCTGCTGGGGAGGCCAACAGGTTCAAGCCGCAGATTCACATTCGACTTCGCCATCCCTGGGGCGGCTGCGATCTGTGAAACGGTCGCCACTTTCGAGGGCCGCTGGGGAGGCCAACAGAGTGGGTGCCAGCCGCAGGTTCAGATTAGACCTCGCCATCCCTTGGGGGATGCGATCTGTGAAACCTTCGCCACTTTCGAGGGCTGCTGGGGAGGCCAACAGAGTGGGTGCCCGCCGCATATTCTAACTAGACCTCGCCATCCCTGGGGGGGCTGCGATCTGTGGAACTGTCGCCACTGTCGAGGCCTGCTGGGGGGTCCAGCATAGCGACGTCCTACGCAGATTCAAACTAGACCTCGCCATCCCTGGGGGGCTGCGATCTGCGAAAGTGTCGCCACTTTCGAGGGGTGCTGGGGGGTCCAGCATAGTGACGCCCTACGCGGGTCCAAATTTGACCTCGCCGTCCTTGGGGGGCTGGGATCTGTGATACCTTCACCAGTTTCGAGTGTTGCTGGGAGGATCTAGCATAGTGCCGTTCTACGCAGATTCAAATTCGACCTCGCCATCCCTGAGGGGCTGCGATCTGTGAAACGGTCGCCACTGTCGAGGCTTGCTGGGGGGTCCAGCATAGTGACGACGTCCTACGCGGGTTCAAATTAGACCTCGCCATCCTGGGGGGTTGCGATCTGTGAAAGTGTCGCCATTTTCGAGGGCTGCTGGGAGGCCAACATGGTGGGTACCCGCCGCATATTCAAATTAGACCTCGCCAGCCCTGGGGGGCTGCTATCTGTGAAAGTGTCGCCACCTTCGAGGGCTGCAGGGGAGGCCAACAGAGTGGGTACCCGCCGCAGGTTCAAATTAGACCTTGCCGCCCCTGGGGGGCTGCGATCCGTGAAACCGTCGCCACCTTCGAGGGTTGTTGGGGGGCCAACAGACTGAGTACCCGCCGCAGATTCAAATTAGACCTCGCCATCCCTGGGGGGGCTGCGATCTGTGAAACCTTCGCCACTTTCGAGGGCTGCTGGGGAGGCCGACAGAGTGGGTACCCGCCGCAGATTCAAAGTAGACCTCGCCATCCCTGGGGGGCTGCGACCTGTGAAAGTGTCGCCACTTTCGAGGGCTGCTGGGGGGTCCAGCACAGTGACGTGCTACGCAGATTCAGATTAGACGCCGCCATCTCTTGGGGGGGGGGGGCTGCGATATGTGAAACGGTCGCCACTTTCGAGGGCTGCAGGGGAGGCCGACAGAGTGGGTAGCCGCCGCAGATACAAATTAGACCTTGCCGTCCCTGGGGGGCTGCGATCCGTGAAACTGTCGCCACCTTCGAGGGCTGCTGGGGAGGCCAACAGACTGGATACCCGCCGCAGATTCAAATTAGACCTCGCCATCCCTGGGGGCTGCGATCTGTGAAACCGTCGCCCTTTTCGAGGGCTGCTGCGGAGGCAAACTGGGTGGGTACCCGCCGCAGATTCAAATTAGACCTCGCCGTCCCTGGGGGGGGGCTGCGATCTGTGAAACCGTCGCCACTTCCGAGGGCTGCTGGGGAGGCCGACAGAGTGGGTACCCGCGGCAGATTCAAATTTGGCATCGCCATCCCTGGGGGGCTGCGATCTGTGAAACCGTCGCCACTTTCGAGGCCTGCTGGGGTGTCCAGCATAGCGACGTCCTACGCAGATCCGAATTCGACCTCGCCATCCCTGGGGGGCTGCGATCTGTGGAAGTGTCGCCACTTTCCATGGCTGCTGGGGGGTCCAGCATAGTGACGCCCTACGCGGGTTCAAATTAGACCTTGCCGTCCTTGGGGGGCTGCGATCCGTGAAACCGTCGCCATCTTCAAGGGT